CGTTTGAAAAAGTCCTTTAATTGAGCAAAAAAACCCTACACAAGTTTTTGGCAAGTCCTTTAATAAAAAAAATAAACCCCAAAAAGTCCAAAAAATCCATCGAATCACGACGTCCAGTGTTGTCATCGACGACGCTGACCCATCACAATAAAAAAAAGGGCCGGACGCCTGCCGACCCGTCCTCAACCGACAAACACATGCGGCCAATGACAGCAGCCGGCCAAATGGCTCCACCCATTTGTTTTGATTTGCCCGTGACCTGAGAAGAGCCACAGGTGGCTGGCAAGTAGGGATGCACAGATACTTTTTGAGTACCAGTGCAGATACTTGGCATTTTCATGAGAACTATCAGGGTTGCAGCGGTTGCAGCTGGGACCTGGCTCTGGCACTCCACCACTGTCCTGAAATCATTAGTCTGCATTGTTTTAGAAAAACTGTCACATGACAATACACAAAAATTTATCAGTACTCGTACTTGTAAGTACTCGGCAAGTACCAGTACTCATACTCGCAAAACTGGTATCTGTGTATCACTTTATTTATATTTATAAAAACAAAATCACACATTAAAACAGAGATGTACAAATCCCAGGAGCTCTGTATGCTCCTTACAAATGACAGCTGCCTCCTTATTTTTGAATTTTTCTCTAGTCTAGTCTTGGAGCTCAAAAGTATCGGTACATGTACTCGTACTTGTACCGAGTACTGTTCTTGGTATCTGTGCAACCCTACTGGCAAGTGTTAAAATATAACAAATAGGCAGAGCTGGCCGTGACACCACCATTTGGCCAGCACCTGTGGATCTTCTGAGGCCAAATCAAAACAAATGGGTGGATTCCGCCGTGATGTCACCGCTAGCTCTGTCTATTTGTTGACATTTGGCCGGCTGCTGTCATTTGGCGGCGGGTGTTCGTTGGGTAAGAATGGGTTGGCGGGCGTCAAGCTTTTTTTATTTCGAAGGGTCAGCATCGTCGTTGACGACGCTGGACATTGTGATTGACCATTGGACTACTTTGATGGATGCATTTTGGACTGGGGGGTCCCTCCTAACCTTCCAACCAGACCTAAGGGTCTGGTATTGAACGGGATGTGGACTCCACGCACTTTTTTGTTTTAACTATTTAACTTGGAGTCCCTCCTATTGCAAAACCACCTGTGCAACGCTTGTTTAATGCCTTGCTAACGCTCTGGAGATCGTTGAGCGAGCGTTAAAAGGCGGTTCAATAGACTTGAATGGAGGCATTATTCCAGCTGCAATGCCTCCTGAACGCGACATGCAATCTATTTTTTGCCACAACGCTGACACCCATGTGTGAACTGTACTGGAAGGTTGCTATTGTTTTATCACACATGGGCGTTAATAGGCGGCAGACAGGCATTTTGTGAAAGAGCCCCGAGGATCTACAGCCGAATGATACACACATACATTTTTGTTAATAGGTAAGGTATGTATTTTTAAGGTTTAACTCTTGAGTTTAGTGTCACTTTAATAATTAAAGAGATATTTACAAAAACATTATACACTATTATATACAACACTAAATCATTTTGCAGAGAATGACAAAAAAAGAAGTGTTCTGTGGTTCTTTTGCTATGTGTGCACCTCACTGCCTCTGCATGTGCAAAGGCCAAAGAGTGTGTGAAAGCAAGATATTTCAGCTGTAGATAGAGGGGTGCTTACAGCAGCCTAATGCACTATAATCTATCTACAGAGACCTCTTTTCGGCTTGCAGTATTAGATTATGACCCCTAAAACCTCTGTTCTCGCTATGTGGGACTGATCTGGGGAAATGCTTAGAAATGTAATAATTGGCGACCCACAGTTATAAGCCTCAGTGTGCTATTTAGAAAAGTTTCCAATTTAGTAAAATACTATACATGTCTTTATAAATGTTTGATAGGTTGCTAATATGTCACAAATAATATAGTTACTATAGCTGTAAGCCTGTTAACTTATGCACATCTAAATTTACTAATTGCAGTTGGAGGAGATGACAGGAGAAGTCACCCTTTGCTGAGTTACTGGCATTTGCAAAGCATTAGCAGAGCTTAAGACCTCATTAATGATTTGTGCGATAAAATCATGAAGGCCACAGTTGGGCCTTGGAGCAGCCAAGGAACAATCCTTCTCTAGGGCTGTCACCTTTTGTAACTGCCAAATTCTGAAACCTGTAGAGTTTGCAGAGAGAACTGAAAGTATGGTAAGCAAAGTAAGAATTTTCCATAAATGTTCACATTACCATAAACAGCACATTAGCAATGCCAATTTGCCATTGCTAAAATAGCAAAATTACACAAAGGTATTTATTGTATACCTGGGCAATTCAGAATAAGCATATACCTACATAAAAATACATGTCAAAATGATTATCAGATCCAGAGGTATATGCAAATAATATGAAAAACTTTGTTCATGCTTCACATACTTTGCCTCAGACACTGCAGCTCACAGGGGAAGGCTTTCAGCAGCAGAGAAAGTACTGTCAATCCAGAAAGCAGTGGGCAGGAGTAGGTGCGGCCAGGTGCTGATTGACAAGATACAAGCCTGTGAATCAGCATTGACAATGATAACAGCCACACCCCCTACAAATGTTTTTCATCCCTCCCTAGTGCAAGGAGGCACAGCCTACGTGATAGTGGCAACTCTGCTCTGAATTCAGGAGCAGTGCAGCATCATTGAGACAACATCACAGGAAGCTGCATTAGGTGGCAGACTCAACAGGTATTTGTGGGACTTGCAAGAGGGAATAAGAGAAAACTGTAAGTGCATGCGTTCTTATAACTAAGTGCTGCAGCATATATTTTTATGGGATGCCATAGTTCTAATTTAATTAACAAAAAGCTTGATAGCTGCAACTCATGTAGCTATTTCTGCATCGTATCTCTGTAATGTCACAAATAGTTCCTAGTAGCACATACTGAATCAGTCCAAAGGTCTAGCAACCTAATCCTCTTGCTATGTATTTATACTGTAAGAGAGAACTTTTAAACTTTAGCTGAGAGATGAGCCATACTGTAGCAAGCACACTTAGCATTTTTTTTAGTTTCCAGAATAGGCTGTCAAGTAAGATTTGTCATGGCACAGTCGTTATCCTTGCAAACAGATGAAAAAGCTTTGCAAACTAGCCTGTCTTCTGAAGCGAACCTCTTAAAAATGACTTGTTTGAACTGTTGAACTTTTCAAAGAAGGGAACACTCTGAATAAACCTTAGTGGGGATAAGGTGATCCTTTGCTTGGAACGTACCCTCTCACTAACATAAATCAAAAGTGTCATGAGCTGGAAAGGCAATGAATAAAATAACAGTGCTTGGGGTTTTTTTTTCTCTGTTTTCCTTTGTTCTTACCCTAACCCAAAACCTTTGTGAGCAATTATAATGATCATTTTCAGGAAATGTCACTTGACGTGAAAACCAGAAGCCAATATCTTTGTGAGCAAATTTAGCTTTTCTGCCTGAATTATAATATTTTTATCATTTGAGAGTTCTTTATATGTGCTTTATATCCTTGCTTGACGAATATAAGGGCAATATTTTTTTCCACTTTAATCACAGACTTTGGATTCTACCACTTTACCCTGCTTACTCACTTCTTATGGGTGACAATGTGTATAGCATGTAAGCAACAAAAGCAAAAAATAGGCTTATTCAGGCCTATTGATCAGACCATGATAAACTGAAGCTTGGTTGCTATGGGTTTGCACATTACTGTTACACAATAGATTTATTTTCTTAACCTCCAGTGGAAAAACATGAAAGCTGGAGTTGATTGGTAGAAGAAACAAAGAATTATACCTTTACTCGTACATCAACAGAACTCTGGCTTTACATGATTCTGCCCTATCTGCTTTATGCTCTAGTGTTTGGTGGAAAACTGTGCTGCTCTTTAACTTTTCTCTGCCTTTGCTCCCCACTGTGGGGCTCCATATATAAAAGGAGAGCTATTAGGAGAATAAAATGTACTCTTCCCAATAGTTGGAGCCAGCGTGTGACACTGCAGCTGTCACACTTCGGCTCTGTAGCACTAGAACTGAGCAATCACAAACGTCTGATCGCTCAGTTCACGGTCTTCTCCCTGTAGAGGGTGATGACTGTCAGTCACCGCTACCCACAGAGATTCCCAAACAAGTGGTAGATATATGCAAAAACATTTTTAAAAATGAAAAAAGTTACCAAATAGGTAAAAACTTACCTGTCTCCACCGTTCACTCCCGGCTGTAAAATCCAGCTTTTTGAGCGGCCATGCAGGGGGATGAGTGCGGGCACACGCGCAGCGGAGATCATCAGCGGGAAGACGAGGAGAGACATGGTGGAGGTGGATGCATGCAGCCATGAGCGTACACGTCAGACAGACACCGTGGGACACGAGAAGTCAGAGACCGACACCAGCGCTGGAGGGACTCCTGGAAACTACTGGAAAGGAGAAGATGATCGCATCAAGAGGCATCACTTAAGGTAAGTCCTAAAAGCAGCATGGGGGGGGGGGTGTGACTTTAATGTTACTTTAATTTTCATTACTTGTCACATTGTCCACCAGCTGCCATTGTTTTTGCTGGTTTGAGGCTTCTTGCTGAGTGCTGTGGACAACACAACTATTTGCTTCTTTTCCTTGGCTCTTAACTTCTTCTGTCTTATGACTAAAAAATATGATGTCTGTCTTTCTCCTGTCTTTGCTGTATTGCAGGAGAATTCCCCTGAGAAATTATAATATGTTGTTGTACAGTTACAAAGCTTGTGAGAGTTTTAATTGATAGGTATACATCTGTTTTTCTCTTCCATCACTCAGTCCCATGATAACAGCACCTTGCCCAATGAATCTGTACATTTCTGCATTTCATAGCATACAGAACGTTCAGCTTTTCCTTAGCTCTGAGGATTATCTCCTTATATCTCAGCTTTGAATTTTCTCATAATCATGATCAGTGCAAGTGAAGTTTCTTTTATGTGGCAATTAGCACTAAACAAGTGACACAATCTGTTTGGACATCCCACCAATTATTAAGATGGAGCTTTCATCAAATATCACCGAAATAATTGCCTGCTGCATTTTAATCTTCACCAGTTTACTGGGAAATGCCATCCTGATTTATGGCACATGGAGATGCATTACAAGACGCCTGCCAACATCTTTTGCTCTCATCTTCAGCCTTGCTTTTGCCCACGTTTTGAAGAATATTGTTGTCAATGCTATAAACATAATTTTCAGTGTTGGATTTCCCCCTAATCCTGTCATCTGTAAAATTAGGATATTTACTGCATCCATGACAACCAAACTGGAGATCTGGTTTACTCTTTACATTGCTATCTTCTACTGTGTTAAGCTCCATCGGGTCATCCATCCACTGAGGGCACCTCCTAATAGCAAATGGCGCAAGCATCACCTGCTCGCTGTGTTTGCCTTGTGGGTCACAAGCATCTCAGTTTGTTGTCCTTATTTGGTGTTTGTACATGACATGCAAAGTTTGACCTCGTTTAACGATTCTTACACTGTTCATCATAGCTTTCTCTATGAAGATTGCGATGTTCGGTTCCCAGATGCTATAACAGACCTCTGTTACCATCAAATATTTATGGTTGTCACTGATTTGCTTCCTATAGTGGTTTTATTGTTTGTTTGTGGTCGGATACTGCTCCTTTTCCGTGAGCATAATCAGGCAACCTATGGCAATATTTGGATTGGGCACGATGCCTCAGAGACTGAGGTTCTGCGAGCTTCCAAAGTCATAGTATTTCTAATGCACATTGTCACAGCATTGTGGGTGGCTCATTTTGTCATAGTCAGGAGTATAGCGCATGTAAATTTATGGTATTGGATGTCAACCTTGCTTATTGTCCTATTTTCTGGATATGCCAGTATCAGCCCTTACTTACTAATGCTTATTAATTACAGAATCAGTTTACAGATCAGATCACTGAGCTCCTTCTGCTGTAAAAAGAGTAACATGAACAAATCACCAAGTGGTGGTCAAAAAGCTATACCTGACAGTTCCCCTGCTGAAGATTGAGCTCCATATAGTTTGTGGTATTAAATGTAACAAACAAATGGCATTTGTTTCTCTTGATTAGTTAATGTAACACAGTAATTTTAGCATCTTTTCAAAGACTGTAAGTGTATATTCCAAAAGTGTACCGTGCATAGACTACACAGAAGATCATAGCTTATATGCTTCTAAACAGCTAAAATATTTTACATTCTGTTTTATAGCACTTGTTATATAATATATTTTTCTATAGCGGGTTTTCACTTCTAAAAACTGTACATGATTTAATTTTAGTGCTTTTTAACATTCACTAAAAAAGGAATTATCCATGTGTGACTTCACATTGTTGTCTGACTTGTTATTCAATGGACATATTTGTAACTACTACTTTTTCTGTGCTAAAGAAAACGTCTAATGTGTATGTTACAGATTACTGATGCATGTTTAAAGTGTATATATAGCCGTTTAAAAAAAAAGAGGGGTATAAAGTAGAAAAGGTAATTTTTTTGCTGTGTCCCACTGGGGAGATTTCTCTTCATTTTCTATCCTGGAGAAGCAGCAAGAAATAAGAGGAAACATCCACAAAATGAGGAAAATTTGCTATCCTGTGTGAATGTTTTGTCAGATTTTCTTTCTTTTGTTTTTCAATGTACTTCCACTGAAGTAAATCTGTCATAGATCATGGCAATTCAAGCTGAGCATATGATGAGAAAATACTAATTTGGGGATTACTTTACCAACAAAAACTACATTCTTAAAACAGTCAGTAGATGTAGAAATAAAGGAAGCTAAACTTGTAGGGAATTCAAATTCAAGGTCAAGTTATGTTGCAGTCCCATACGCCCAGAAAACAAAATGCACAGTGGAAGCTATAAGATAATTAAACACTTGAAGAAAAATGCATAAAATACTTGCCTTACACTGCAGCTTTTGTCTCACTCACCTAGACAAGGGTGATGTCATTCGACCTTCTCCCAGTCCTAGGAAAGCAAAGGATTCCAAATCCTCCTGCTGCTTAGTAGTGGAGCATCTTCTACTAATATTTAGGATCCTGAGACTTCTCTGGATCCTGTGGTGAGGTCCATTGACATAGTGACATATCTGACACCTACAGGAAAAGGTGAGTATTTTTTACATTTTTCCTCAGATTTTTTTTACATTCTTATACTGCTTTTACTGATCTTTTTTTATTCGGAGATAAGGAGCTGCAACACATTGTCAGGCAAGTTCACCAAAAATGTAAATCTCAACATCTCAAAAACAGGTCTCGCACAGGGGGGTGACCCCCATGGGGAGACAGAAACACCAAAAAGTTAAAAGAAGCCAGGGGTTGATTCACATGTACTGGAGGAGTCACTTTGTTTTCTACTGTAAAGAGTTGTTAGTGTTACAGTGTGAATATTTACAGGGTAATTCGCAAAAGGGTGAAGAGTTTGGAGAAGGCAGGAGAAGTGAACAATCTAGGCCAAAATAGCTGATTTGGAAACATTCTCCAATTTAGCTCACTTTCCAGTTCAGCTATGTTGTCCTAGATTGTTCACTTCTCCTACCTTCCCCAACTTCTTATTCCTTTTGTGAATAGCCCTGTTAGTGTACTAAAATGACAATTTGCACAAAGTTACAGATACATTTTTGTACGTACACAGTCATTGGTTCCAGTTACCTGGGGAAAAGATCCAAAAATATCTAGTTATCCTTTTAGGTTTTGTTCAAAATTCAAAGTAAATGACTGCAACCTTATGAGCAGGCATATGTTAAGAGGAGAATCCATTTCTGACAATTAATAATTGATATCACCCTGCTCACGGATTCAATCACATTGCATTATCTTACAAAGGACCCCATGAACAATTCTGTCATTAAAACCTAGTTAGATATGTTCTAAATAGATATCTTAACTAGATCTGGGATAATGTGTGCTGTGTATGATAAAATAATGTTTCTTACGGCAAGCAGGTGCTTTGTGCCATGCTCATTTCACTGTGACATTCACATGCTTATAATCACTGACATGTAGCTAAATGCCCTTTGACCCAAAACATTTTGGCAATCATACTTGAACTTTTAGTTCTTCAACAAATGGTGAGCCATAGGATGCCTGTAACAGTAAATACTTTATGTGGTTCTAAGTGGTTTTTCATACAACCCTCTCACATCTGCAAGTTGTCTTCATTAGATTAGATTGCACAGAGGTGATACGGCTTGTATCTCTTATATCATATACTCAGACACACTGGTAAATAAAATAATATATACACATTTCTTTAAGTTGTTTGTTCTCCTGCTTCTAATGTCTTTGTTTCCTGTCTCATTTATGCATCTAAACCAGTGGCAGGACTTCTGGGGCTAGGGCATGGGTGCTTTGTGTGGGTGCCCCAGGTTTTTGGCAGTGTGACAAATCTGCAACTGCCATAATGTGTAGTTTCGCAACCCCTGCAGCTTAGGTACATGGTAAATGTTACAGGTGATGCAGGAGGTTCTAGCCCCGCTATATCAGCATACAATGTCACAAGTCCTCTTCCAGGTGCCATCCAACTGGCATGCTATTGAGGTAAAGGAAGAATTCAGACCTACAGCTTTACCACTGGACATGCAAGGCAAGTTTTGGATCGTATTATACACTGTTATAATCTTGAGCTTCTCGTGGAGAGTTTATTTTGCTGAGGTGGTGTTTATTATTATGTTTATTATTCAGTTGCTGTTGCATGGGAGGAATATTATTCTGGGGTTGAGTAATGTGATGTATGCTTAGGGGGTTAATCTGGAGCTGGAACACTTATTTTTTTCTGGTGTTGAGGTTATTCTGCTAAAAGTTGTGTTATGGGCTCATTGTGGTGAATTATTGTGCTGGGAGTAGGTTTGACTGCATTTTTTTTTCTTTAAAGACAGATAGAGCTTTATTTTGGTGGTATTTAATTACCACTTTTTTTTTTTTTTTTACAAAGAAACATGTTCTGCCTGCCATTCACATGGCCCTAACATGCTAGAACAGTACAAACACTCACAAAATTGTTTAGTTTAGGACATAGTGATTACAGTGTGACAATCAGATTGCAGAAGTCAGGACTATGTACAGGACAGAAACCCCTTGTGGTGGTGATCAGTGGTGAGTGCCCCTTTAAATGTTGGTGATCAATGGTGTATGCCCCCTTAAAAGGTGGTTATGTGTGGTGAGTGCCCCATAACTGTTGGTGGTCTGTAGCATTTTGCACTCATAACATTGGTGTTTAATATGCCCCCATTTTGTTGATTGTGGTTTTCCCTCATACCATTGGTAGTCATTGTGCCCACTTTATGATCTATATGCCCCCAAGGGGTAGACAGTTGATGGTGGTCTCTATGCATGTTGTTAATTAGATAAATTAAAGGGTTCATAGTTGGCAGTTATTGAGCTTGTGCAGTCAAAAGTTGGTAGTGGCTGTTGGTGCAGAAACGTGGCAGCTATACAGTTAGGGGTAAGGGAAGTTGCTTTTGTTCTCTGTTTAAACCACTAGCATAATTGTTTGGCAGGATTGGTAGTTTTGAGGTTACAGGAATTTCAACCAAGGGGAAAAAGTTTCAGAACCCCTGACTTAAAGAATCTTTGGGCACAACCCTGGATACCCAGGCAGCAGATTTCATAAGGTTTCTGAAATCTACTGTACACCAAATTATATGTATTTAAAAAAAGTAAATTTATACTGTAAATGTGTTGCATATTACAATCTGAGCAGGATGGTTACCAAGGCACAAAAGGCACATAATATATTATTAAACCTTATTTTATTATTTGGCACATTTTTATATTTTCCCTTCACATTTGCTTCTGTAGAATTTTGCTTGTTAGCCCTAATTGTCTTAGTAAAAAAGAGGAATTATTTATAGCCTGTGATAACTTTTACTGGACGCAAGTTGGTGTTTTTCTTAGAACCTTGGTAACCACAAAGGCCTGATTTTTATAAAAATCTTATGTGGTCTTTCAATTGTAGACACAGTCCAAAGTTACTCAGTGGGATAGAGTAACTCATAACACATGGATACTCTGCTCAGTAAGTTCAGCAGCAGTGGGGTCATCATAGTCAAGCCTGAACTGTAAAGTTGGTGGTAACTTGATACAGGCACAAGATTCCAAATTGCACAGGTAGTAGCTTATAGGACATGATCAGATAACCAGTGGTTATACAGCTGTGAGCAGCGTCTGACAGCATGCTGCTCAGTTACAGCCTGAGAGCCAAAAGACATCTTAGCCAGTTAAAGGACTATGTGTTTATATTAGAAATGCTTTTAGGTTGTGCCTTTAACACAGGGCAGGTTAATTATACAGGCAAGGCAACATTTAACTGACTCCTGCATATAAGTGCATATTTAATGTAGACCTGATTTTCTATATTATTGGAAACATTTAGAAGTGTTAAGTGTGTTCTAATAGTGCCCTGACAAATCTTTTGGCTTAGACTCCGCTTGAAAAATAGCACTGCACTGTGTCTTCAGCCTCATAACAGCATATCTATTTAAAGGTGAGATTTGGTGTTTTTTTTTGTTTTTTTCACTGCTTCCATTACTGGTAAGAAAGCTTCAGTGCAAGGATCTCCCTGCTCCTCCTTCATCAATTCTGTAAATCTGTGATTTCACCTATCTGTCTTGATGCTATCCCACCAGTCATTGGGGGACAACTCTGGCGCAAGAAAGTGAAGCCCTCGTCCCACAAGGAAGTCAAGCTCTCATCCTCTACCAAGATTGCCTCCTTCACACAGACACAGTGCAGAACAAAAAATATTCAATAAAGAGGAAAAGATTAGCTTCAGGAAACCAACAGGCAATACTGGTGACTATTTTTCAAGCGGAGTCTAAGCCAAAAGATTTGTCAGGGCACTATTAGAACACACTTAACACTTCTAAATGTTTCCAATAATATAGAAAATCAGGTCTACAATAAATATGCACTTATATGCAGGAGTCAGTTAAATATTGCCTTGCCTGTATAATTAACCTGCACAACCTAAAAGCATTTCTAATATAAACTGCTCCAGATTCTGTCTGCTCCA